AGGGTGCAGGAAAGATATTCTTTCCATTGCCAATAAGATGATAAAGGACTATTCAGCTTTTAAACCTTAGGGGCTGGTGAACATTTGTTGACTGAAGGTAGAAGGGTTTTATCTACTCAAGGTACCTTTTTGGGAGAGGGGATCAGAGATGACTCACCCAAGTGAGGGAAGCAGCCCCTAGCCCACCTCCTAGGCCAGAATGTAGGGGAGACACAGTTGCAGGAGCCACGTATGGGGGACTGCACCCAAACAGCTGGAGTTCTGAGGCACTAGTGTGCTTATAAGGGTAATTCTCCAACTGTGTCCACTTTTAACAGTTTATAAACCCCGGGGTTCCATATCTCCTTTGAATCTCACAGTGACCCTGAAAAGGCTTGTGATCCTCCTTTTGCAGATGGTGAAAGGTAAACACAAAGCATTTTGGTTTTGCCCCTGAGTGGAAAAACAAAACACAGAAAAGTATTTGGAAAGCAGAGAAAAGTGAAAAAAAGAAAACCCAAGTTGCCACCAGATGACAGTTAGTGTTTCAGGTTCTTTCCTTTTAGACTTTTTTCAGTGACCATGTACACCCACGTTCATAAGCAGACCCACGCTTGCACATACACAAAAGCACACACAAATGCATGTGCACATACATGCACACAAACACACACACATACGTGTGTGCACACACACAAATGCACATGCACATACCCACTGAGTGCTCAGTGTGCTGGGGACTGTCACAAGTGCTTTTTACTTACTCATTCATTTGCACTTCAAAACAACTGTATTAGGTAGGCACTATTACTACCTGCATTTTACAGAAAACCGGCACAGAGAAGTTTTCACTTGCCCCAAGTCACACAGATAGTGGAGGTGGGAGTGGGTAAGGATGTGACAAACCAATTGGCTCCAGCCCCTGACCTGTGTTCCTAACCACTCTGCATTTGGCCTCTGCACATATCTGTGGAATTATTTAATATGATGAAATCATATGATAGCTACAGTATTGCATCCTGCCTTTTTTCCATTCAGTATTGCCTCATGAGTGTCTCTGATGCCATTGCAATTCTTCTAAAACAATTTTCAGTGGCTGCACCACCAGATGGAGATGTTTTGACTAGAGTTAACTGCCTTGCATGGGACCCACAACCCAGGATTAGAACCAGGTCCTCTGGCTCAGAGTTTAGCACTCTTCCCCTTATACACTGTTGAGATGGTCACAAAACAAAACAGAGAAAAAGCACGAATCCAAAAGTCACCAAGATGAGTTGTCAGATCTGGAAGTGGCCCTAGTACCTATTAGCTCTGGGCTAAGACTCTTTTTGTTACCCCCAGTTGACCCCATTTTAAACTCTGTGTGAAAAATGCATCTTTCAACTCAAGGCTAGGAAAACTTCTGTGTCCCCTGAGAAGCTGATATGCTTCTTTTCTTTCCTCCTTCATAAATGATTATTTTTCTCTTTTCACTTTTGCCACCAGGAAGCTCAGTGTTAAATCTGAAGTGAAATTGAAGAAACTATGTGGTCTCTTACGATTGGTTGCCACAACAGATATTGCCAGGTGTCCTCAAATAGTGACCTCCCATGTGAAGCCACCTTCCTCTGATCAGGCCTGGCAGCTTCACATTGTGGAGGGAGCTGAGAATAATAATCTTTCAAGGAACAGAAAACCAGACACCACATGTTCTCACTTATAATTGGGAGCTAAACAATGAGAACACATGGACACAGGGAGGGGAACAACACATACTGGGGCCTGTTGGGGAGTGTGGGGTCAGGGGAGGGAGAGCATTGGGAAAAATAGCTAATACATACTGGGCTTAATACCTAAGTGATGGGTTGATTGGTTCAACAAACCACCGTGGCACATGTTTACCTATGTAACAAACCTGCACATCCTGCACATGTACCCCAGAACCTAAAAGTAAAATTAAAATAAAAAAAATTGAGCATTCAATGTTATGACCTGTGCCACTCTTTATAAAGCTCATGAACAACCATAATCCCAGTGTATTAGTCTGTTCTCATGTTGCTAACACATACCTGAGACTGGGTAATTTATAAAGAAAAAGATGTTTAATGGACTCATGGTTTCGCATGGCTGGGGCAGGGGGCACTCACAATCATGGTGGAAGGTGAAGGAGGAGCAAAGGCACATCTTACATGGTGGCAGGCAAGAGAGCCTGTGCAAGGGAACTCCCATTCATAAAACCATTAGATCTTGTGAGATTCATTCACTGCCACAAGGACAGTATAGTGAAAAACGGCCCTCATGATTCAACTATCTCCACCTGGCTCTACCCTTAACACGTGGGGATTATTACAATTCAAGGTGAGACTTGGGTGGAGACATAGGCAAACCATATCACTCAGTTAATCATCCTCCCAAGCATCCTGAGAGGAAAGAATGGCTGAACTCAGCTCTATTTTGGAGATGAAGAAACTGAGGCTTGGAATAGAAGTGCCCAAGATCATGCTCAAGCCTCTCTCCGCTCCCTGGGACTCCTCTGAAAAGTACCATGAAGTCTCAGTGCAGAAGTGGGAATTCCTTTCCTTTCTCGTCTCCTAGTCTGGCTCTTCCCTTGTGTGTTGGAGTTTCCCACAATGCACCAGTATGTGAGCTGATTGGAGTTACTGCACTAAGCAACCTTTTAATATTTTGAAAGCTCTATATCAGTTTTAATAAATTCTGGTGCATGAAACTGGTTTTCCATTTACAATAGTAATATGCTCTTTTAAAATAAATGCATTAAATTTATAACAAAAAGCAAATCAATTTACAGTAGCATTTTGAGTAAGGAATAGATGGGTAGGTGTGCAGATATGACCAAACAGGTGAGACCACTGCTTCCTGCCACCCCCAGCCTCATTCTTAGCCCACAGCCAACTGAGAACTGCATTTGCATATACAGGAGCTAGTCTCACAGAGAGAACTCCAGAAGACCAAAATGTTTTCAGGAGCCAAAGGATGTAAAAATCTAATGTAAAAATCTCAGGCCAACAGTGAGGGAGATGCCTTAAGTCTGAAAGGCAATCCACCCTCTAAATCAAATATCCAATGATAAAGTGGTGGCAGGTTAGGGTCCCCTCAACCACCATGGCAGCCCCGTTAGTCTCTCTGCATCTCTGTGTTCATCTGTAAAATGGGTGATGACATCTATCTGGTTAGGTTAAGGTTAAGGTTACTTTCCCCAGGACTGACCAAGCTTGTGTCACCAAAAGGTACAATGTTCCTCTCTCCCTTCATCTTCTCAGCAGGCCCAGCCACACAACACAAATTAATTCACCCTTGGGTGAATTAATGGCCTGTGGGTGCAAAAAACCAAGAAGAATTAGCTCTGTGAGGCACGCCAGGCTCTGCAAACACTCTGTATGCCCATAGGGGAGTGACTGCGTGGGCCTCAGCTTGTTCATCTTGGGGATGAAAGGGGATGAACTACATCAAGTCTGTCAAATAGGTAAGAGCTTCATGGAGTGCTGTGTGTAGAATTCTGAGGCCACACCCAGTCTCTGTGAGAGCAAGGGGACCAGCGAGTGACTGCCAGCATTTATAGATGATGGCATGATTGTTAACATAGAAACAGCCCCAACAGTTGGGAGCCCCTGGACCACTGAGTTCATGGGTCCATAATCCCTAATTCTAGTTGTTTCTAGTTGCTCAAAAGGTAGCTCTGAGAAAGCCTGCCTACCTGTCTTTATTCCTTCCTTTCTCTCCTTTTCCCAGCCCCGTCTCCATGGTGATAATGTGATTTTCCCATCTCTTAGGAAGGCTGCTAGACTCATGTGAGTCATTTGTAGGAGCTGTACAATTTGTCATCCACTCTGAAACAATTTTGAGAATGAAAGGGAGCATGTTCAATAATTTTCCTGGGACCACAGTTGTAACCTAGGACTCTCCTGGGGAACTGATGTTACTTAAGGTGGTGGTTCCCAAACTTTACCATGCATGAGGATTGATGAAGGTAGAGGAGTTTTCTAGGCAGTATCCTCAGTATGGTTAGGGCCTGAGGACTGGCATTCTAACAAGTTCTCAGGTGCTATTGCTGCAGGTCCACGGACCACACTTTGAGGAGTCTAGGTTCACAGAACTCATTCACAGCATGTTCTTACTGATCCTTACAGAGAGCCCAAAAGGAAATGAAAAGTTATCAATAGTGTCATGCTAAGCTGGGGAACCGAGACTCAGAGAAGGTAAGTGACTAGCTCAAGGACACCCAGCTACAAGGGGAGAAGCCCTTGTTTAAATCCAGAGTTGCCAACTTGCAGCCTCTGCTTGGCTCACCAGGCCCAGCAGCCTCTCAGCTTAGGAGCGTTTTAAGAGCTGAGCTGATCCCCCTGGCTCTGCAGCAATGCCTCTTTCTCTGCAAATGTTTCTGGCCTGGATTAAACCCAGCTCTTTTTGCTTCATAAAAACCACTTCAAGTCAGCCAAGAGTACTGTAATTTGGTGTAAGAAATTACTTTGGCAATGCTTTAGTCTATATTTATACTTAATTAATATTTTAATGTTTTAATATTTTTGATGTATCCATAATTTTAATGTTAAAATAATCAGATGTATATCGTAGAACACTGGTGTTAGGTGTTTTCTGTTTTACATCATTGAAATGGAGCTCCATTAGCCTGTTGCTCAACTTCCATACACTAAATCCTCATGTGCATTTTTTCAGGAATGTAGTAGGAGGCTGCCTGTATCATTTAACCTCTCTATGCCTCATCTATAAAAGGGGCAGGGAATAGTGCTTCCATAATAGGAGAGGTGTGGAGATTAAATGAATTAATTCACATTAGCGTAATTAGAGGAGAGCCTGGAAAATACTGAGTGCTCATAAAGCAAGCTCTTCCTTTTTAAATTCTCTGCTGGACTCCTTTTTATTCTTTTGTCACTTTTATATCTTCCCATCCATGAGCTCTTTCCACACACAGGCTGAATTTTCTTCCCCACTATATTCCTTCAAATCTTGCACACAGTAGGTGACTAAGACCTACTTACGGAATGAACACAAAATGTAAAATATTTAGGAATCCCAGAAACTCATCTTTATACTGCGAAACCATAAAACCCAAAGCCTGAGTGATGAGCCATTTCATTGAGGCCCCATGGAGGTTGTTGAAACAGCCCAGATTGGCCATGACCCAGCCTCAGCATCTCTCTTCCAGCTGCATGGAATGAACTCTGGGCTCCACAGCACTCACTGTTCCAGACATGAGACCTTATAGGATTTCCACTGTGAGTTCCACTCTGGGCTTGGAAAGCCTGGAATCAATAGATCCAATGGGGAATGAAAGTGAATTGGGTGGGTCTCATTCAGCCTTGCTGGCTGCTGACGGATTTGGGAGGGATGAACAATTTCCTCAGGATGCCTGGTTATGAAAGGAAAAAGAAAAGCAAGAATCTCATTAGATATGGGAGGTTTTGTGGTTTGGTTCAAAATCAGAATCAAAAGTGAGAACCAATCTCACATTCAATGGCCAAAGATTTAGACTTTTTAAAATGAAAATTCTCATTCATTAGTTGCTTAATAAGCACAGAAATTTCGTGGTGCTCAGAGGTGGTGACAGGAAGAGCTTTATTGAATCTCACCAGGTCTATGGGTTTTGGGGTCTCTAGCAGAAGTTTGAACATATCTCTAAAGAAAGAGCCAATTAAACAAGGAGAAGGCATAAGCTGAGTACATCTCAGATAGTGAGAAAAAGTACCTGACTCAGGAAAATGTTTTAGTTAATGCTTGCTGTGAAACAAACCACCTGCAAACACAGGGGCTTCAGCAACTACCATTTGTTTATGATTCAAGGGGTCAGCAAATTAGGCTGGGCTCAGCAGGGCGGTTCTTCTTTCCTACGTAAGCTTCCACATGCATCTATAGTCAGCTGCAGGTCAGGCAGGGTGGTTTTGCTTCTGGAGGTTAGCTGGCTATTAGCTGGACAGTGGGGACAACTGGGCCATTTATGTCACGTTATCCAGCAGGCTAGCCTGTACCTGTTTAGGTGGTGGCAGCAGGATTCAGAGAGACAGAGAGAGAGAGACTGTAAAGGCATGAACAATGCCTCTTAAGACCTAGGCTCAGAATTGGTGCAGTGTTGCTTCTGCCACATTTCACTTGCTAAAGCAAGTCACAAGGCCAACCTAGATTCAGAAATACATTCTGCAAAAAATATATTCCACCTCTTTAGGGAGGGAGCTGCACAGTCACATTGCAAAGAGGCGTGGATATTGGGGAGAGTTGGAAAATTGGGGCCATTTTGCAAACTACTACAGATAAGACTAATTAAAGGCTGCTGTTAGAGGAGTGACATAGATAAGGAAACTGTGTACTGAGAATGAGCATTGCTGAGGAGTTGGAAATTCTACTTAGCTTCCTGCTTGACCTTTTGGAGAAGAGACAAGCCTATCTGTGTGTGTGTGAGTGGGTGGCGGGTGGGGGAGGGGGTGTGTAGTTAGGGGATGGTGAATGGCATGAGGTTTATATCCTGATCCACCACTGATTAGCCATGTGGCTTTGAGAAACTCAGTGAATCCATCTTAGCCTTGATTTTTCCCATCTGTGAAATGGGATCTCAGTTTCTATCTCTTAGGGTTGTTGTGAGGATGAAAGAGGCAATGGGTCTGGCATACGGCAGGCACTAGAAAAACGAAAAACAGCCACAATAATGAGTAATATATGATATCAATCAAGCAGCAAATAACAACTTATATGATGAAATGTGAGTAATAATGAGTAATTAAACTTATCGTCAGCAAATGAGCCTGGCATATCCTATCCTAGAAGGCAAAATGGCATTCCAGATTTATACCAGCAAAGCTGCCATCTCTGTGAGGCAATTACCAATTCAACCCTCAGAACTGGCCACTAGCCACTTAATACCTCCACGGTCTCAGATGTCACCCAGGGCTCTGTGGGGTCTGGTGACACACTCGGACCTGGGTCTGACCCTGGCCCTGCACACAAGTCCAAGTGCAATGAGGAGAGGTCTTACTGAGGAGGCAAGGCAGCCTCTTACCAGGCTCAGGGAAAAACCTCTGGTTTTGCTCTTTGATCCATGTGCTGGTGTCTCTGGATGGGAAAGATTAGGAGAATGACCAGAGAATTATGAAAAGCTCTAGCTTAGCCATCCTGAAAACACAATATACTGCATGGTCCAATCTGGCGGCTACTGGCCACATGTGGCTATGGAGCACATGAAATGCAGCTAGCTAGTGCAACCAATAACTGAATCTTTATTTTTTACTTTACTTTAAGTTCTGGGATACATGTGCTGAACATGCAAGTTTGTTACATAAGCATATATGTGCCATGGTGGTTTGCTGCGCCTATCAACTCATCATCTAGGTTTTAAGCCCTGCATGCATTAGATATTTGTCTTAATACTCTCCCTCCCCTTGCTCCCCCACCCGCCAACAGGCCCCAGTGTATGATGTTCCCCTCCCTGTGTCCATGTGTTCTCATGAAGAACCGAACCTTTGAGTTATTTATACAAGCACATGTGGCTAGTGGTTAGCATGTCGGACAGCACAGTTCCAGACAGCTGAGCCTCTGAAGAAAAGGGGCCCTGGGAGGTTCTGAGTGACGTGGCCATCACCTCTTACCTTAGTGGTTTGGAGATCCTGTCTCAAGGGTGCATGGGAGTCAGACAAGGGTTTGGATGTGGGTCAGCTGAGCAGCAGGTCCTTGGTAGTCTTCAAGGTTATTGCCTGGACTCTCCCTTCCTATGTCTAACAGTGCTGAGCCAAGAGGAAAGCTGATAATTCTCGAGAAATTGAAAATCCAATATAGAGCTAGCTTCTCTGCCACCTTGCCCTTTTCTGAGTGGCACAGCCACTTGTAGCTCCCAGGAAGGCCAAGGCTTTGCATGCTACCTCATTCTTTATTGGGCAAAAAACAGACCCAGCTGTCCTGCCAGGGAGAAAGGAGAGGACCCTTAGACGAGAAGGAGAGGAGTCCTTCCCGTTTGGATGGTTGCTTTTGAATAAAAGGGGCCCCAGGATCCAATGTGGATTTTGAAGACATTAAGATAGCTCATGAACCTGTGTGTGTGTGTGTGTGTATGGGCACAGGTGTGCACATGCACATGCACACACAGTTCACTCATGAAAGAGCTGACTTTTGGAACATCAGAACAAGATGCCTTGGTCTGGAAAAACTGGAGGCTTTGCTCCATTTTAATTGGGTTCGAAAAGATGCTGAACTAAATCTGCCTCTGGGTTTGCTTTTGAAACTCATATTGGAATTTATTTCAGAATATTATTCCATAAGCAGAATGCTGCTTATGGAAGCGATGGTGGATTTGGCCCTGAGATTTTTTTTTCTCCAATTGCTTTTCAACTCTAGCAGCAATAAATGGCCCAAACCAGTCACAGTCTTTGTGTGTAAGCTGATGACAAAGGCCACTCTCTACCCACCTCACCAGGCTCTCAACCGCCCAATATTTCTTAAACTTGGGACTTTATTGCAGGCAAACGTCTTAATGTCCTTTAAAAGATAGACTCTTTCTGGATCCTTCAATTAATTGACTGTGGTGGATACCAGCGGCTCCTGAATGGGCTTTTCTGCAGTGGCATGGGCAAGATTAGTTTTCTGCTATCGCCATAATTTACAAGGCTCACATAACCATGTAACGACTTGGTGATTACATGGGAAATATCGTATAAATACATAGTAATTACAAGTTCATGCAGATTACTTGGTATATACATTTGAAGTTACTGAGTAGTTCAAAGATTAATTATCCTGTAACTGGCAGTATTTAAATCATCTTTTCTCGTATACGAATACATTGAGGCTGACTTCAAGGCTGGCGAGGACGGGGATGCGATGAGTATGATCTGAAAAGAAAAAATGAAATTTGACAGGCATGGATTATTTAAAGCATGCATATGTGAGCCGAGCAGCCATTACACTTTGATGCAAATCGTAGGGGAGAGAGCCGGGGGATGGTCTGTAGAGAAAGGTGCTGAACAAAGTAAAGATTTCCTGCTGGCGACTTGAAATTTAAACAAATAATTATTTAAATGGCTGCTCGGCATTATGTTCCGAGTTGTGTGCATTCATGTCAACATCTGGTCCCAACATTTTGACAATTCTATTAAAATGCCCCAGCATTCCCTATCTAACACCTGTTAGCTCTAATTTTCTTTCCTGAGAAGCACACCAGTAGACAGCGTAGATTCCAAATCATTTATCACTTTTAAAGTGCTTCCATATGCGCATTGGACCCAGCCTGGCCCTAGGCAAACGTTTTCTGAATGCATTAAAATTCAGGACTATTTTTTTAAAGTGTAGACACCAATGTTTCATTGAATTCATGTCTGGTAATTATTAGCTTAAATTATGGCTCACACATGACTTGACAAAGTGGACCATGAATTAAAACACACATACACACACACACTTGCACACACCACACATACACACACACCCCAGAACTCTTCAATAGATGCATCCAACTCATACATTGCTAGTTATTGAGATGTCAGTCAGTAATCATTAGGCAAACACTCTTCATGGAGAGAACTGCTAAGAGGCCCAGGCGTCCCAGGAGAGGATCTAAAAATGTCAAAAATGTTACAGTATAAATGAACGACACCAACAAGAGAACATGTGTTAGAAATGCAGGCAATTAGTTAAGATATTACAAGTTTCAACCTCTGAGCAAAACAGGCAACAAAAATTTCCTCTTGACAAAAGGCTACTCATAAGATCAAGTCCATTCCCAGACAATATAATCTCCCTGAATTGGAGCAACACTCCAGCAGGCTGGGAGGGAGGGATGAACCCGGGGGGATTCAGGGGTTTGTAGGGTGTGCGCCCCGGGGTAGGTCCTGCCTTGCCTGAAAATGACTGATTTGACTGCCAGGCTCCTGAAGTGGAGAAATGAAGTCTGAAGTGAAGGAAGTCCTGCGACCCACGGATCCGGCTCATGAAGCTCGCAGGCTGCTCCCGGCTGGAGCTTCGGAATAAAATTTAGAAGGTAGAATGAAATCGGATTGCTGTTTTCAAAGGAAATGAGGTAGTTGCAAAAGGCAGTGGGGAGTGGGTATATATGAGATAGATAAATACTTGCTCATTGCTTTTCAGAGATTTTAAAATTAGATATTGTAGATTGTACAGTTTCTCTCTGTATACACACACAATACATACATATATGTACATGCACATATACACACAAATCTATATGGAGGTGTTTTAAGCAAAAAAGCAAAAATAATCCACAACACCCTCCATATATACACATACAGGAAATATATTTTAAGCAAAATACATGATTTGCACTTTGGGTAAGGATTTGAATGGGCCTCTTAGAAATATGAGGAAATACTGTGAATACAAGAAAGAAGGGATGAAAACCTGAGTGCACCAACTCTAAAGGTAAAAAAAAAAAAAAAAAAATTGTAGACAGTTAAAATGTCCGTCTCTGTACACACGCACACCTACACGTTCACACTTCCTCTGTTTACTAAATAACATTTCAGCACAGTTTTCATCTTATAAGGAAAGTGTTTGAAACTTGGAATAAGTGCACTTAATTAAAGGAAGGCTGTGAAAATGTGCACTAATCTGATATGACTAATAGCAAAGTGCATGAAATTGCTAATTAGAATTTCATTAAAGGTGCTGCTTTATCAGACTGTGAATATCACAACCTTTAAAATTCTTTCAGGAGAGCTTAATTCCTTTTCAAACAGAAATATTCTTTAAAGACATTTGATTTGTTCTGAAGGAATTCATGGCTTAGGTTGGAACTTAAAATGTTGCCGATATTCCAGGAGGTGACATCAGAATAGGAATATAGATCGGGGACTTTGTTTCATTTGCTGATGAATCCCCCTGCCCCACCTCTATGGATTATTGTTCAACAACCAATCACGAAAAATGCAATTGAGTCTTTGGTTTGCTCCATGTATAATTTGTTTTCTGCTGAAGCCAAACATTTATTCTCACCTAGCAGAATAAAGGAAAAATTATTTTAAAAAATTTAAAAGTCACTATGAATAAAATTAAACATTTAAATTTTCACATATGTGAAAACAAAAAGGACAGCAGACAACACAATATTTTTTCCTTTAAAAAGTCATTCATTTTTTTAAGCCAGTGCCCATTTGTCTTTCTTTAAAAAATAAAACTCTTAAAAAAGGAGTCACCTTTCAATCATAAAATTGCACTTTTCAGAATTGGGTGAGTCCGATGGTAACAACAGCAAATGCATTTTACTCCTTCCCTGACTTGTTTTCCTGGGTTATCAGGTTTTCTTATTTTACATTTTAATTATTCCCTGAACTAAATCTGCATTTCAGCTTGCTTTTTGCCAATCAGATTTTTAAAATTCTACCTTTTTATTCCTTCATCTTTTCTACTTTCGACCTTCTTTTCTGCCACTTTATTTTCATTTGCAAAAGTTACTATAACAGGTTGTTACCCTCTCTGCACAAAGCTTCCAATGTTACCAATCGGATTTTTGTATTTGCTGTTTTTCCTAATTGTTGAAGGGTTCTTACAATCAGTAACTGGGTTCTTTTTAATACTCAAGCTTAATTGAACAGTTACATTTTGTTACTAAAAAGCCATGAATGCTAATGGAAACTACAGCTCACTCAAAGCATGTTTACTTTTACAGAAGTTGTTAAAAAACCAGCTCTGCTCCAAATTTGCTGAGCACACCAGTTAACAGTGAGGTAATTTTGGAGAACTGAATATTCTAAATACATTTTAAAGCCTTGGTTTAAAAGCTAATCAGTCATATTTACATGACCATCGTATCTGAAAGGAGAGAAAATGAGAACAGAAGTAACTTTGAGAAACAGTGTGATTTCTTTGGACATTTAAACAAATCTCAAGTGGGTTAATTACAGTTTGTTCTGATTTTAACTCCACCAATAGGAATTTTCATGGCATTTAGATAAGTTATCAACTGGGCTAGGTAACAGATAAAAGATTGCATTTTCTTTGCCAACATTTGGGAGGTACACTTGTACAATAAGTGCAACAATTTAAAAAATCGGTCTAGACTTCAGTGAATGAAAATTATGCTTGTTAACTGTAGTGTCTGGAGTCCGAACTGGTGTGTCAGTCTTGCTTATCCCTGGGCCACCGTCAAACAAAGCTGCTAATTCGAATGCTTTAAGTTTCAAATTGGGAAATATTGTTCTAATATGGCAACAATGGGGCTGTTGTCCTTTCAGGCGCTCTGCGATTACAGGCTCGTTTTATGCAAAACAAATGGCAGGTAATTGAGATTTAATTCTTTTCAAGTAAATTACAGTGAGTGCGTGACACAAAGCTGCGGCGGACCCTCCTTTCTCTGTCAATAGTTGAATTAATGATGGCAGGAGTAAAAACAGCAATTGTGCACAACGGCTCTCCCCGGGTCCCCCACCCCCGCCACGGAGGAACCTGCCAATCAGGCTGCGCCACCACCGGGCTGGGAAGCCTAGGGTCTCCGATGTTCCAGGATGGAATGTTCTGGTGTCACCGTGCGTGGGGTCACAGAGCTGGGAACTCGCTCAGAGCCAGGGTCTCTGCTGGGGTCAGCGTCTGTGCGCTAAAGCCAGGGCGCAAACTGCGTGCGCATTGCGGGTACCAGGGGCTTATGGTGCTGGAAATACAAGGCCGAGTTGCCGGCGCAAAGAGTTCCCCGGGCGGGTTGGTGATCCAGCGCGCTTTGATAACAGGTTAACCCGAGCAACCTTCGCTCTGCGAGAGATCCGCCGGAGGGCTCCGGAAGACTGCGGCGCAGCGGAGGGAGAGGCGGGGAGAGGCGGGGAGAGGCCCCCTCTGCGAGCACCGTCTGGGCGCAGTACGGTGGGCTGTGCGCTGCGCATCCCCGGGCGATCTTGGGTTCTCAGAGCCTAAGACCTGAGCCGCAGGGCTCCAGTTCTCATCTAGAAGCTGGAGAAGTTCAGGTGGGACAGGAGACACGGGGGTGAGATCTTTGAGAGGGCCGGCCGGGAAAGTGGGGGTCGCCTGTAGCTGAGAGGGCCGCATGCCGAGGGTCCCGACCCCAGGCTCACCACAGGCAGCCTGGCGCGCAGGAAGGGGGTTTGGGACAGAACGTAGCACCGGGCTGAGTGCTCAACAACGATTGAACTGACTTCTGAAGGACTGTGGGCCCTGACCACTTCCCACTGTACTTGGTACAAAATCCAAACTCCTTCCTGAGGCCCATGGGAAATATGTTCTCAGACTTTTGACGGGGCGTCTGCTCTAAAGTGCTCTGGATTTGAAATGCCAGGATGGAATCCTGCCTGCCCTGTCCTTAAAGGGTGAGTTGGAGCAGATTCCTTAACCTCTCTGGCCTCCCAGATGTAAATGGAGTTAACGAAACCCCACCTTCAAGGGCCCTTATGGGCACTTCATGAGCTACCAATAGAGTGCTTAGAATGTGGCCTGGCACAAGGTACAATGCCCAGTGAATATTAGCAGGGGTCACTCCGCCTTAGCCGTGTCCATCTTCTTCATTTTCCTGGACCTCCCTAAACGTGTCCCTGCCACGGGGCCTTTGTACTTGCAGGCAGAGCTCTTGCCCTGCCCGTCATGGCTCTACTTCCGGCCTCAGCTCATCCTTTCTAGATGAGAGGTCTTCACGACCATCAACCACCCCACCCTTCACTTTCATAAAGCTCTTTGTTTTCTTCCTAGTATTTTTCTTGTTCTGAATGTTTTTCACCATTTGCTTAGTGTTTTTTGACTGTCTTCTTCTCCACAAAATGTAAGTTCCATGAGAATGGGGACCTTGTGTTCTTGTTCTCTGCAGGTGCCCAGCACTTTGATCAGTGTCTGCTTCATAGGAGGCACTCAAATACTGTGGAATGGATGAATGGAGTCACTTCCTTTCCAACATGCACGCCAACATGGTTGAACTGCCTCCTTTCTAAGTGCCAAAGTCTGTTTTACAAGGCTGTAAGTGAAATCACTGACATGGAAATTATATTTTCAAAATTAAAGGAACAATTTTCTAAAGAAATCTAGGTTCTCAAGAAGGGTGCCAGACGACTGGAGACTTTTCTCTTTGTCACCATCTTTCTACCCTGACAAATTCTGACTGTGGGCTGGAGCCAGCTTCTGTGAACTCTCCACAGCTCCCTCTTCCTGAAGATGGGGCTTGAGGGATGGTACAGGGGCCTTTTGGATTCCTCTCCAGTTGAGGGCTGTGCTGGCTGTGGCCCAGCCGGGCCCTAGGAACTCTCTAGACCTCCACCAACAGTGCAGCAATGCCTGCTTTATCTGCCCTTCGATGCCCCCTTCCCCCTCCAGTGACTGCATCTTGTGGCACTGGCCTTTGTCCTTAACCTCCTCGGTCAGAGCTTCTCTGTTCCTTTGACTGCCCCTCTTGTGGCTTGGCATTAGTCACAGATTCACACCTGCTTTTTCTTCTCCCCAGAGCCAGCTGCTTTAGACTGGCTCCTGCTAGGCTTGCCAGGCCGAATGAGGGAGCCTGAGGGGCTGGGTGGGGCTGAGATGAGTCAACCGGCCAGGGTTATTGTATCTCAGTGCCCCGGCTGGAGCCAGGGGTGGAGTATTTCCAAAACTGGCCTGCCTCCTGTCTCATGCTATTTATTTACTCAGTGAGATCATTGTAAACAATGAGTATCTGGGCCACAGTGACCATCCTTGGTGGCAACTCCCATCCCAGGGTCCTATCTTTGGGATCGAATTTGGAGAGGATCTCTTGCTATCCAGAGAACAAGAAATATAAATATTCAACTTATTCACGTATCCAAAGGCAGTTGCTTAGCACCATTGGGCACAGTAGTGGGTGCTGGGGACACAGATACAATAATAGCTAACACTTGTTTAGCACTTCCCATGTGCCAGGAACTGTTCTAGGAGCTTCATGTGTGTTACATGACTTCATACAATACTCACGAATAGGTTATTTTATTGTCCCCTTATAGGAGGAAACTGAGGCTCAACACAGAAACAGATCACATGGCCAGGAGGTTGCAGGGTCTGGGCTTGGAACCAGGACCTACACTCCTAACCATCATGCTGCACTGTCCCTCTGTTTCAGTCCCCAAAAGGGATAGGAAACAGCCTCAGCACTCTGGGGGCACAAAGCCACAGAAGCAAACTGAGAAGGTGGGTGGGAGGGGGTAGTTCCCTGCATAGGAGATCAATAGTGACATATTTCAGCTCTTACTACATACCAGGCCCTGTTCTAACTGCTTAACACATATTATTAGCTGTTGAAATCTTCGCAGCAACCCTAGGTGGTGGGGAGTAACATCACCTCCATTTTATAGGTGAGGCAGATCCTACAGCTTGCCCATGATCTCGGGGCTAGAAAGTGGCAGAGCTGGGATTTGAACTCAGAGACCCTTTGCTCCAGGGTCCCTGCTGTTACCCTAACCATGTGTGAGGCCTCTGTTGGAGACTCATGGTGCCCACGTGCTGATGTGCAGGCAGCCCAGAGGGTGCTGAGTCTCTGATTAGAGCCTGGCTTAGAGCCCCAGAGCTGCTGCTTCCTAACTGAAACCCTTGGAGAATCTCCATTTCCTTGTTTGTAAACAGGGGTATTGAGGTCAGCTCTACCTGCCCCCCAGGGCCACTGTAAATGAGGATTAAAGAAGATAACATACAGGGAAGCGCTCTGTGAAGTGCAAACTGCTGACCTCAGAAACACTCAGTTCCATGGCTCTGGTCCATGCTGGGCAGCCAGGTGACCCACCCACCTCAGAGTTCATGCCCTCTAGTTCAGGATGCATGGCACATGGAAAATGAAGAAGTGATTTTAAAATAATGCAAAATGGCTATAAAAATAAAATAATAAGATGTCTCATTTGATGATGCAGATTATTAGAGAATTAAATCTGTTACTTTTTTTAAAAAAATCTTTTTCTAGAAGGATTGGATTCAAAGGCACCTGGGTCAACACTTGCAGATGCCAGCCAGCCGGGCCTGGTGCTGGTGCTTTGTGTGGTCAACCCCAGTGGGCCTTCTGCAGCCTTGGAAGTCGAGACTGAAATTGCATCCATTTTATGGGCCAAGACATTGAGAGGTGAAAGAACTGGAGCTAATGAACAGAGGAGCTGGTCTCTGAACCAAGTGCAGCTGACTCCAGGCGCTGCAGCTTTGCTGCAGCTCTGCAGAATCCCCGCACCAGCTCGGGAAGAAGGCCGCCCTTCTCTTCTGCTTCTGAACGTTCCACTTTAGCTGCACATTATACTGAGTGACTCCTCCCCACAACCTCAGCACTTTCACGTCTTTCAGCCCTTCCTATTCTTTTTTTTTTTTGAGACGGAGTCTCGCTCTGTCGCCCAGGCTGGAGTGCAGTGGCGCGATCTCAGCTCACTGCAAGCTCCGCCTCCCAGGTTCACGCCATTCTCCCGCCTCAGCCTCCCGAGCAGCTGGGACTACCGGCGCCCGCCACCATGCCCGCCGAAATTTTTTGTATTTTTAGTAGAGACAGGGTTTCACTGTGTTAGCCAGGATGGTCTTGATCTCCTGACCTCGTGATCCGCCTGCCTTGGCTTCCCAAAATGCTGGGATTACAGGCGTGAGCCACCGAGCCCGGCCTTTTTTTTTTTTTTTTTTTTTTTTTTTTAATATTTTTAGTTTTTGAGACAGAGTCTCGCTGTCGCCCAGGCTGGAGTGCAGGGGTGTGATCTCAGCTAACTGCAACCTCCACCTCCCAGGTTCAAATGATTATTGTACCTCAGCCTCCTGAGTAGCTGGGATTATAGGCGCACATCACCACACCCAGCTAATTTTTGTATTTTTGTAGAGATGCGGTTTCACCATGTTGGACAGGTTGGTCTTGAACTCCTGGCTTCAAGTGATCTGCTTACCTCAGCATCACAAAGTACTGGGATTATAGGCATAAGCCACCGTGCCCGTCCCAGCCCTCCCTATTCTTAGGGCATATACCATCCACACAATACCCCTGTTGAGTGTCTGGGGGCAATTCCACAACCTGTCCACCTACCCACCAGCTTGCTGTTGTTGTATTAAAGGCTTGTGGTCAACACCCTGGACTTAAGCAAGGTGCACGCAAGGGAACATGCTCTATCCCCAGGAGCTCGCTGTGGGCTTGGACCTCCCCCAGTGTGAGCAATACCTTGGAGGGCCAGGATGGCACGCGTACGACAGGCAATGTAGCCTTGGCTTCCCTCCGCATTCACATCAGACCTACCTCTGGCCCCAGAGGCTGAATTTATTTTGGCTTAAATGACAGGGTGGTCCGAAATAGTAAAAATACTCCCTTCATGAAGCCACTGGGTGAATCTAGTAAGGTTGTGAAGGGGATGTCAGCTGCCTCTGGGATTGTGGTGTCACCCTAAATGGGCTGCTGGGCCCTGGCATGGTGCTCAGGTTACCAGTAACTGGCGACTTTACCAGGATGCCCATATGCCCTTTGGAGGGTTCCTTCCCTTAGACCGTGACTTCCAAGGAGGAAGATTTAGACTGTATGATGGGGCATGAGGACAACGAAGGCATGTTCACTGCTTGCTTTGATCTCATGGGTGACCAAGAGCAACTCCGTGCTGAATGAGTGCAAGAATGGGAATGAGGAGTCACTATAGGACTCCTCAGTGTAGCCACTGGGGATGGAGGCCCCATTCCTTGCTTACTAGCTATGGGTCCTTGAGCAAATTATATTATTTCTCTATGCCTCAGTTTCCTCATCCATAAATGTAAGGTCATAACTGGATTGGGAGGAGTCAATTATGCAATATATAGAAAAGCATTTTGAATGGTGTTTGTTACAGAATAAGCAGGCAATAACTATTAGCTGACCCCAAAATATCAGCTCAACATTGTCTTCTCTACGCACATTTGCCTTCCCATTCAAAATACGTAACACACGACAGTCACAAAGTGGAATGCCTTTTCAGCTCTATGTTGACAAGAGATGAGCCGGAAGTATACTCCTGGTTTCACCACTTACCACTGTGTGATCTCAGGTAGTGACCTAGTTTTCTGTGTTTCAGTTGCTTTATCTGTTAAATGGGTATAAAATTTAAAAAATCAATTACTGATAGGATTAAATAGTGTACATAAAGCAAATAGTGCTTATTATTCTTCTTCACCTCCCTGCCCTTTTAACATTTTTTCCTGTCCAAGCCCTTTTGAAAGACTGACGTGTTCTCCAAGCCAGTTTTCTTTCCTTTCTGGGTGCACAGGAAGACATTTCCCAACCTCCTTTGGAGTCAGAGCCCCACGTGACTGAGTTCTGGCCAATGGAATGTGGGTAGGGATAATATATGCTGCTTTCAGGCCTGGCCCCTAAAATTTCTTGTGAGATCCTTCTTGCTTGTTTTCGCCTCCATCTGGCAACTGACTGTCAGTGCTCAGCAGGACCTTGGGAACTATGTATTGAAGATGCTGGAGCCCGTGCCAGGAAAACCCTGCCCTCATTGCCTGTTCCCTGCAGGCCTGCTTGGACTGGGACACTTTGTATGAAACCATTGAGACACACAGGGTATTTGTTACCGCAGCTAGCAGTGAGCCTGTCCTGACAACACTGAATTTTACAGAACTTGTATCTAGTGTACACACCTACTTACATGCATTCAAGATTTTGCATGTATTTTAGAGTCTTCTTGATTCCAGCCCTCTTAGGCCTTTACTGCCTTAAAAATCAAGACCCAGCAGTTGTTATCGATCTTAGTGAGACAATTCCTGAGAGCAACTTCCTGGCTTCAGGGTCTCCCTGCAACAGAGAGGTTCTGAAGACAGCCCCTTACCTAAGGAATTTTAGTGACAGCTGGCCTTTCAGGGCACAGGTCTCCTACAAAGGCACCGCTAATCACATCGACACTCTCCTTCGTACTGCAGTTGCCAAAGTGCTTGCTCTCAGCCTCATAGCACACCCAATAGATTTGATGGATCACAGGTTAGAGAATCAGGCAGACTGCAGCTCCTCCCAACTGAGCCCTTGAGACTCTGCTCTGGAGCCCCTTCCTCCCCATCCAGCCCTGCCCTGGTTCTGCCTTGGGTGAGATGGGGTCTCAGCGCGGCCTCCCTGTTCAATCCCACACTCCCCAGAGGCTGAGGCTGTGCTGTTATCATTCCCCTTGACTGCTGCAGGGTTGGGGTGCACAGCAGACATCATTTGTTTTGCAAAGAGTTGTTGATTTCAGGGATCAGGGACCATCCTGATGGTCTTCTGGAAAAAATAATTCCTCAGCTTGAGTGAGGTTTATGTTAATAAAAGGTAATGTATATATCGAATGCCTGTTCTGTTCCAGGCCCTTCTCTTAGTTCGTTACCACCCCCCCCCCAATCCTATGAGATGAGTTTTAAATAGCTTATGTTGCAGGTGAGGAAGAGGAGATGTGAAGATGCCAGGCCCAGAGTCCCAGAGCTGAGGAGTCGAACAGCGTGGGTCAATCCAATGGTCATAACGACTAGCATTTCCTGGCCCTTAACTGTGTGCTGGGAGCAATGTATGTCAGGTGCTTTCAATGAGTTATTTCATTTCACTTTGATAATTTCCTTACCGAGTGGGAACTGCTGTTATCACTATTTTACAGGTGAGAAAAACAAGTTTGTGTAGGTTAGGAGACGTGGAACCTAGACTCATTTTCCAAATCCTCTGCCTTTAGAGCTTGCACTTTCACTCCCTCGGCACCTGCAGTGCCTACTCCTGCCACTTGGAAAGTGCATCAAGGACCAAGTAGGTGCTCCTCTAGGGGCGGGGACTTTTGGGTGGAAGCCCTTCTGCAGTCAGGGTGAACCAGCGCCTACTGCATGCAAACGCTGGCCCTCAGCCCTGTGATGATGCGCAGGATGCTCGACTGTCCCAAGCATTGGCATCCTGGCAGAGAGGGGGCTGTGTACCTCCACTTCCAGCCCAAATAAGTCAGTGCCATGGAAAGGTGGATGCAGCTCTCCTCAAAGGAAAAAGAGGTCACAAGGGTAGAGGTAGAGATGGCTTTACCCAGGAAGTGGGATTGGGATGAGCCTTGCCTATTTGGATTTGAATCCCAGCTCTGTCACTTGTTAGCGGAATGACTTTGGGGAAGTTATCTAACCTTGGAGTCTCAGTTTTACCATCTTTTAAAATGGAGGTGATAAAAGTACCTACCTAATAGGATGACCAGGAGGATTAAATAAGTGAATTAACATGTAAAGTGTATGAAACACAGTAAGCTCTATATTATATACTTCTTTACTCTTTCTAATTATCAAGGACTTGTAGAATTTTAATAGATGAAAAGAGGCATTGTATTACTCTGTTTTTACGCTGCCGATAAAGACATACCTGAGACTGGGAAGAAAAAGAGGTTTGACTTACAGTTCCACATGGCTGAGGAGGTCTCATAATCATGGCAGAGGGCAAAAGGCACTTCTTACATGGTGGCAGCAAATCAGAATGAGGAAGAAGCAAAAGCAGAAACCCCTGATAAACCCATGAGATCTCGTGAGACATATTCACTATCATGAGAATAGCATGGGAAAGACCACCTCCATGATTCACTTACTTCCCCCGGAGCCCTCCCACCACATGTGGGAATTCTGGGAGAGACAATTCAAGTTGAGATTTGGTGGGGACACAGCCAAAGCATATCAGGCATAATGCACCAAGTGAATGCCACAAGCACTTCTTCACAGTTGAGAAAGCACAGGTGTGTTTTGAGAATAATGAGCATCTTTGTCTGGCTGGTTTTATGGGAACAGTAGAAGATGAGGCTAGAAAGAGAGGTGGGGCCAGGTTGAAGAGTATGTACTTAACAGGCAATTGGGAACCAATGAAGGTTTTTGAGCATGGAGTGTTATGACCAGAGCTGAGTTTTAGAAAAATCCTTCTGACTGCAAAGCGTAGGGCAGATTGGAATGGGAGTAGGGGGAGAAGTCCAGGAGAATCCCATTGTCATTGACCAGGGGAGAAGATATTGGGACCTGGCAGGACAGGGAGAGCATGAGCTGGCACACATGGCAGAGGGAGGTCCCTTGAATCTTGGTGGTCTGTGTGCTGTGTGGGGCGTGTGCTACCTATACCCCTGGCCAAAGGCAGGCATGGCAGTAGTGCCCATCTCAGGTCCAAGCGAGTGGATGGGACCCACTGACCCACTGCAGGGCTTTCTCTTTGCAGGCCCAGGCCTGGAATGCAGTCCTTCTGGGCATGATGTCATCAATGGTAGCTTTGGGCTAAGAAAGAGACAAAGGTAGAGAAATAGGGGACCAGCTTCCTTTTGGTCCTGAGAACTCAGGACACCTGGTATCCTCAGGGTGATAAAGCTCCCTGATGGCCCCAAAAAACAGGTTCCAGAAGACTCGAGTGGAAGGGAAAAAAGAGGGAGGCCCTTTTTGGGTTTTCATCTAGGTTTTTGAAAAGCAAAGCAGACTGGTGAAAGTCGCCTGTCTGAGGCGTGTTTTATCTTAACCTTTCCATGTAATCCTGAAAGCCCACCTAATCAATTGAAGATCATAAAATATTAGACTTAATGCTGCAAAGTGCTGCTTTTTAATTCACATAACAAGCTCCTAAATAATTCAAATAGCAAACAGACCCTGCAAGTCAATGGTGGGAGGCTGCTTGGATCAGCAGGAGAGTGTCAACACATGCCACATTTCCCGGATCGACTCCATTTCAAGAACCCTATTAAGTTAATTGCCGGTTTCTGACAGCAGAGAGCATGCTGGGAGCACAGCACGCTTTATTAGCCTCCGTGGCATCTGGAGGCCTCAGCCATTTTGCCCCTACTTGCAGGCCCTAGGAGCAGCGTGGAAAAAAGTAAATCAAATTATGAGACAATAAATGCTTTTGGCAACACGTGGGCATCAGATTCACTGGCGAATCCAAAAGCCTTCGAGTGTCAATTGTTGTTCTGTTAAATTTTTTACAGCAACATCATCTATATGCTGCAACAGCCTTATAGGATGTCAGGAAGCAGTTCCATCATTTGTCACTGCATGGCTGATACAGGTGAACTTTAATGGAAGTGAGGGGCCTCACCTACTGATGGAACTACTGGGTGAAGACAGCCTCTAAATAGAATGGGGGCTGGGGGGAACCTTTAAAGAGGCCCTCAATGATCCCAGAGTCCATGTTGCACATTCAGATTTGTAAGCAGATCTGCCTGGATTTGGAAACCCAATGCGCAGGCTTCCAGAGTGGTCAGAGAGGGCCAGGGAAAGGCAGAGTGAAGGCAAGTTCCCCAGCCTTTACTTGGGGAGATGTGCTCACTATGAGGGCCTCAAGCAGAGCAGGCATCAAGGCATTGTTTCCATGGCTACCTACTCTCTACTTGGTGGTCCTGGTATACATTGAATTCAGAGTGGGATGGAGGCATTGTGGCAGCTTGGAGATCTACTAGCAGGTGCATGCAAGCTCTGATCTGTCCAATATCAGCACTTTTTTTTTTGAGATGGAGTTTTGCTCTTGTTGCCCAGGGTGGAGTGCAATGGCACAATCCTGGCTCAGTGCAACCTCTGCCTCCTGGGTTCAATCAAGTGATTCTCCTACCTCAGACTCTTGAGTAGCTGGGATTACACCCGCCACCACACCTGGCTAATTTTTTTTGTATTTTTAGTAGAGACGGGGTTTCACCATGTTGGCCAGGCTGGTCTTGAACTCCTGACCTCAGGTGATCCACTCGCCTTGGCCTCCCAAAATGCTGGGATTACAGGTGCGAACCGCCGCACCCAGTCCAATATGCACCTTTGACACATGAGAAAATTCAGGCAAAGAGAGATTCTGTGACTGTCCCTGTGTCACACAGCCAGCCAGTGGCAGCTGGTTTTAGGACAAAGCTGTTCTGATACCTGGCCTATCCATCTTCCCATATTTTGCCATTTTCTTTCAGGCCTTGAGATTATGGTACAGTGGTGACCAGCTAGATAAGATCTAGATTATAGTCCTGGCTCAACCACTTGTTGTCTGTGTGTCCTTGATTTAAGGAAAATATATATAACTTCACTGTCCCTCTACCTTATTGGCAAAATGAGGATGGTATTGCTTACCTGATGGATGTTTATGGAGAGGGTTAGATTAAATGATATGTATTAAATATCTAGTTCAGGACCTCAAGCATGGTAGCCAGGCACTCTGCAAAATTTCCTTCCCATCATCTATGTGGGAGACTCTTAGAAGAGCAAATTTATTGTATTTCTAGATAACTCCATTAGAAACCAATAGTTTTCCAATGTATTAGGTTTGCACATCTGAATTTTTACAGGAAATGTTCATGAAGTACTCCCTCAAATCTCCTCTTGACCCAGTCCTTAGATTTAGCCTCAGTGTCTGCAGAAATGATGCTTTGTTCTGGATCAGGCCCTTGATATGATCGGAATACAAGAGGAAAGAACATTGGAAAATGATTAGCAGGTTTGAGGAGGCTGGGGCTAAGACTTCCAGCAGGTCAAAGCGAGAGCAGGCAGATTGACTGTTTTGATCCTGGTTCTCCAGGCTGCCTGTATTCATGGAATTGCTGCACTTTGATGCTGGAAGGAACCTCAGAAATGGAGTCTGGCATCCTCATTACATGGGTGGGGAAACTGAGGTTCAGAAGGAGTAGGTGGACTTGTCTGGGGTCAAAGAGCTAGTTAGTGCAAAGTCAGTGACAGGAGTTGGGTCTCCTCCCTCCCATTTCTGTCCTCTTTCCAGTTCTCAGACAGTTGGGAACAGACCTTCCTGGCACAAGAGCTGATTCCACCTTCCCTGGAAGACACAGGGCAGTGCCTAAGCATTGCTACCTTCTGCATTTACAGAGAGGACATGCCATTGCCCCAAGACCTCTCTCTGAAAATAATTTTGTCAATTCATAATGAATCTGTAATAATAACAGCTATCATTTTTAAGAACTGAATTCTAGGCATTTTACTTACACTATCCATGCAGCCCTTTGAGGTAGGTGTTACTATGATTCCCACTTTACAGAGGATAACACTGAGGCTTAAGGGTTAAGAGGCTTTTGCCCAAAGCCACACAGCTGGTAAGAATCAGAGGTAGGTAAACTAGTTCAACCATTATGGAAAACAGTATGGTGATTCCTCAAGGATCTAGAACTAGAAGTACCATATGACCCAGCCATCCCATTACTGGGTATATACCCAAAGGATTATAAATCATGCTGCTATAAAGACACATGCACATGTATGTTCATTGCGGCACTATTCACAATAGCAAAGACTTGGAATCAACCCAAATGTCCATTAGTGACAGACTGGATTAAGAAAATGTGGCACATATACACCATGGAATACTATGCAGCCATAAAAAAAGGATGAGTTTGTGTCCTTTGTAGGGACATGGATGCAGCTGGAAACCATCATTCTCAGCAAACTATCACAAGAACAGAAAACCAAACACCGCATGTTCTCACTTATAGGTGGGAACTGAACAATGAGATCACTTGGACTCCGGAAGGGGAACATCACACACTGGGGCCTATTATGGGAAGGGGGGAGGGGGGAGGGATTGCATTGGGAGTTATATCTGATGTAAATGACAAGTTGATGGGTGCTGACGAGTTGATGGGTGCAGCACACCAACATGGCACAAGTATACATATGTAACAAACCTGCACGTTATGCACATGTACCCTAGAACTTAAAGTATAAATAAAAAAAAAAAAAATCAGAGGTAGGACTTGAACCTGGGCTCATTTTGACTATGCTCCTTTCCTGTGGCACCTGTCTCTCTTAGACTTCAGGCTTTGGCTGGAAGGAATGGAGGTCTCTAGAAGGTGATAGGGAGAGATGGGTCACTTACCCTGAGGTTTAGCACTCGCCAAGATGCATAGGTACTAGGACCCTCATCCTGCACCAGGACATTTGCCCCTTTCCTCCCCATGCCCCACTGTGTCTCTTGCTGAGAATGGACTGGTAGCCAGGGACCCAGAGTTCCTCTTTGACACAATCACCAGCCTCTAGTAAATAAGTGTGTATATTAGGATCAGGCTTAGCTGTACATTACAGAAACCCCAAGTAACAGTGACTTAAATGCAGACAGACTTCCCTCTGAGATTGAAGAAGTCCTAGGTAGTCTGGTGTGGTGGCTTCACAGTCATCTGGGCCCGGGCTGTGTCTCTCCTCCTGCACTGCCGTTCCCAACATATGGCTTTTGTCCTCAGTATTTCAGGATGCCTGCTGCAGCGCCAGCCCTTGTGTCTGCATTCCAGGCAATGGGAAGGAGGAAAAGGGTAAAGCAAAAAGGACTTTCTCCAGTTGTCTTTTCTCCCTTTCAAAGAACCTTCCCAGAAGTCCTTCCCTACTAGCTTCTAATGTTTCATTGGCCAGAACTTCATCATGTGGCCACACCTGGCTGTAGGAGGGGCTAGGCAGTAGAGTCTTTGACTGGAAATATCACTGACTGTAGAAT